AAGCAGCCCTGTGAAATCTGCTGGCTCTGGGCCTCCTCGGGCCACGGCCCGAGCTCTGCCGTCCAGCTGTGTGTGCATGAGCACATGTTTCAAATGGTCACCATCGTGCCTCCTTTGGTGTCTTTTTCCCTTTGTTTTTCTGTGTTTTTTGGGCTTTTCGTGTATGTGTGGTTTGGGGTTTTTTCTTTTTTTTTTTTTTTTTTTTGTTACTGCAGGCAATATTTGGAGAGGTGCTGTGGGCCTCCTATGCGGATTATGGATTATTGTCGACGCCAAAACTGTGTCGAATCAAACAGAGGCTGGTGCAAGACCAAACTTGAGCACAACGTGTGTATTCAGTTGCTCTCATTCCACCCCTGCGGACCCACTTCTCGCTCACACAGATCCCTTTCACGTCTCCTCAACAATTTCAGGCCTTAAAGTGACAGAAAGTATAACTGCTGCAGATGAGAAATGGGTGCTTTTATCTCCACAGTCTCTTTAATCTGATATCTTTCTCCACTATTTTAATATAGGAGCCTTTGACCCTAACCTGCGCTGTTGGAATTGGCAGATGTGCGCAGGATCTGCATGGAGGTCAAGCCTGAATGTTTTCTAATACAGAATCTTGTTTATCTATGAACTTTTCCATTTTTCCCTTAAATAAAGGGCTAGTTTAATTTCCCTTAAATAAAGGGCTGAAGGAAAACAGTCAAGACCCAAGAGTTTTATGTCATGCTTGGGTTTTTTTTCCTTCCTGGCAACTAATAGTGCCCTGTTTCAGCCAGGATTCACCCTCTTTCCTCATCTCTGTTTTTCCAACAAAGTATTAATTTATAGAAGGAGCATAAGCATGATTTTCACTTCAGCACAAAATATTTCAAGTGCCRTTGTTTCCCTTTATATGAAATAGTCTATCATATCCTTCCCGCTTGAAATATCTGGAGCCCAGATTTTAGTCAAGATTTCAGACACATTTTTGTGGCTGCGTAGTTCTTATTTAATTTCAGGAAAAAAAAAAGGAGCTATTTTAATAATTTGACCTGCATTTTCATCATTTCTAATGTCTGTGGCATCCTTCCAGATGTGTTTCTGCCTGCCTGACCCTCCTGTCAATACTTATTAATTTCATGGCCATCTTTTCAAGTGTGTTTGGAAACAAACAGGAAAAAGTTGCTCTGAGGTCAAGAATGAGCCCAGGGAAGCAAAGATAGGAATGATTTCCCTATAACACTGTCTGTATATTTTTCAATTTCCCCCTCAGAATGGATTTTGCAAACATAGGTCTGTAAAGCATTCCTGAAGAAGGAATTTGCTGCTCTAGTTCTAGAGAGGAGATGATGCCCCAGAATAGCAGTCACCGAGTGACCTGGTGAAGCAGTGGCAGAACTAAGAGTTGCAGATGTCCCAGTGAACCTGGACCAGAACACAGGGGTAGTTCCCGAGTGCTGGGGGACTAAGGGTTGGTCAATTCTATCTGTTTTCCCAGCAGTTTTTGCAGGGGAACAAAGTGTCTTCTCGAGCTCAGTGCTCACCAGAGGGCCAATGGGGTCAGCAGAAGGGAATTTTTAGAGCCTCCTTGGAGTCATGAGAAGTGCTTCTAAAGAAAGGGCTGACGAACCCAAAATAGCCACGGCACCAAGACAAGCCCTATCAAAAGAGCAAACTCTTGGTGTCCCGGTCTCTGAGGCGCTCATAGATGTGTGGTTGTCACAGGCAGGGAGCGATCTCCTGCCACAGGGCAATGCAAGAGCAGGAGTTTGCCTTTGCACGTAAAATACGATGCAGCTCAGAACAAAGTGAATTTACAGTGCTTTAAAATCAGATGCCGGTGCGGCCCTAGAGGGAAGCGTAGTGAAGCTGGTGCCTGTGAAGTGGTGTTCTCCTGGAGATGCAGGATGCGTCTCCAGGAGCTCCACACGGGTGACAGCACCGAGCTGCCACCAGCACCACGCAGGGGTGGCCACCACCTCCCTTGCGCTGCCACTGCTCTCTAGTGGACGGTGCTTGCTATAGGCCACGCCGGTGTCGCCTCACACGCGGAGAYGCGTTTTGGAGGGTCACTGCAGGTCTAGGGACAGCCACAGTTGGCTGACAGGGTGCAACGAGGCAGGTATCCTCCATCCCGACAWCTCCTGCCTTGGTTTGTTGTGTCGTGTTCGACCAACATCATGGCCATTGACTCCCTGTCTTGCCTGGAATATCCCCCACGCAAACTCCCCGTTAAAATCCCCTCTGCGAGGCAGTTCAGAGGGAGGCTCTGAAGGCAAATCTCCGTGGGGAGCAGTCTCCAGATGAAGGCCCTGGGCCGCAGAGCCCCTGCCCCCAGCCCAGCTCGGGTGGGAGCTGGGGACATGGAGCCAGGAATGCTTGTCAGCTCAAATTACTGGCTAAAGGCGGCATTTCCTACAGCCATAAAAGCAACCAGAGTGAATACAAGGGCATAAAAGGAGGGGGTGGTGGTTGGGGGGGCTGAAGGGTTTTTTTTTTTTTTTTTTTTTTTTGGTTTTGTTTAACTTGTCATCTGGGTCTGTTCAGTGTTGTCCCTGGGGAGAGTGACAGGGCAATCAGAAGCTGAGGACCTCCTGCCATGGTCATGGAAGCCAAACAAGCAGGGGAGAAATGGAGAGGCTGGGTAGCCAGTCAGGAGAGTTGAGCAGTGAGGACAGAACCAGAAGTCCCATATTTATTCTGATCTGGGATTTGACCCTTAATCAACTATAACCTGTTAGTCCTTTTTCCCCTCCATTTGGTGTGCAGGCCAGCTGTGTTGCACACACATGGCCAGCTTAGCAGCGTGTGTCTTTTCAGGGTCCTTGGAAGGAAGCAGGATCTGCTCGCACCTTGAAGAGCTCCCTGGCTGGTGCTAGATATGCTGTCCATTTTAATGGTGTGGCAACCTGCAAATCATGCTAGAAAATTTGGAGAGTCCGTGTCTATGCTATGGCACTTAGATGTTACAGAGCGTAGAAATCAGTGCTCGTCCTGCTTGTGTGGGGAGAATCAACTGKCCAGGAGCAGAGGCTATAGCACAAAGACTACAATGAGGTTTAGGGATGTGGTAGGGTACTTGAGAACACAGCCGCATGTGGCCTTTATCACTGTAGGGTGACCCTGCTGTCTTCATCCCACCACAGAGTTGAGGCCCATAGAGACCATTCACACTAAACCTGTATGAGGAGGACCGTGGAGTTGTAGCTTTTGCTTCTAGGGAATACACAGTCTGTTACACAGCTCTTAGACTTGATGCAACATGGGGGCAGATCTGCAGGATTGTCCCAGACACAGCAAAGCCTTCCAGCAAGCAGCCAAGCAGGGAAAGGTAACAGGGATGCCACAGTGTCACAACTCATTTTGTACTGGGGAAGAGCACCACCTCTGTGATCTTCTGTATCCCTCAACTCAGTCATTTGTTCCCTTCTGTAGCAGTGGAAATGATGCAGCTCCGCTCCAGAAGAGCAGGAGTGGGGCAAGTGAGATCCTGCAAACAGCTTTCCGAAATTCTCTTGTTCCCATCGGGAATACTTCAAAGGGACTAGTGTGACCTGATACCCCCAGCATATTCTACAGGTTAGATCAAAGAGGATGGGTGCACATGCACTGTATGGGACCCAGAGCTTGCTTCAGTGCAGGAACATCCTTRCATGGTCCAATCAACCAGCCACGTTAGCTGATGAACCACCAAATGGCACAGAGGGACCCCAGGTGCCCCGGCCTCCCTGTTACGAATCTGAGAGGCCTGACTCCCCTTTCACGAGTGGGTGTGGGTCACAGTATGCATGGTGCATTGCACCTTAGGAAAGAAAAGAAACCTTGTTGGATTTTGTAGAGAATTTTTAGTAGAGGAAATTGAAAAATATGTATCTGACATATCTGAAGACTTAGTTTTAACTTGCATCCTGATTATTCCAGATGTTCCCCAGATGTCAACGGGAACAAGTCATTGAAACAGAAGTTCATATTAGTTTTAACAAGTTCTAACGTCAGAATTG